AGCCTTTCATTATTTGGAGTAGTAAAAAAGCTTTGAGTACAATAAGCTTTAGTTTTGTTCAGCCAATACTATAAAACTAGCAGAGACCCGCAAAACATTTCCGGCCAAATTAGTATCTTTATCTTAACAGTACTTCTTTAAATATAACATTTCTAGCACAATACGAAATGTGTAAATCCACTTGTATATAGGCTGTACTTTATAAAACTTTAACTTATGTTAAACCTAAGTTAGACCTAAGTTCGATAAAGAGTTAATTTAACACTGTAACCTGTGTACGTTTTTTTTTTCTTTTACTTTAGTTTAGTTAGGACTAAACTTTACTGTACTTAATACTATCGATAAATAAATTTATAATGTTATTCTACGACCTAATGTCAAACCTTTTTTAAAAACTTTGATACGTTTTTAATATTCTGTTGTACAAAATGGTTAGTAAAGTATACTTACATTCCCCTTTTGTTGTTACTTCTTGTTTCATACAGCAATTGTAGCGACTTGATTAGTGAGCTTTGCAGCTCTCTGCCGCAGGCAGACTGTTTGTCGTCGAGTGAATAATGCGCATGCGCGATTTTTCTTGGGGAAACATTCTAACTATGCATGCTTATGCAGCAGGTTCTCGGTCAGAAAGTGTAACGGTCGTACATACAAACAAGCAGAATAATAGTATAGATAGTCATTATTCATATTCAGACATTGTAAAGGTGGTTTTAAACGGGCGATTTTTATGGCCGCCATTTTGTTTCATCACGATCCCTACTATTATGTCCCACCGTACTTAGTGATATACTTACGCTAAGATATGCCCCGCGTGATTAGTTGATTCGGAGATGAAGATTACATTGAGAGACCGGTTCGTTATGAAAAGGAAAGTGACCTTATCCTATGTACGTTCAAGAACAAATAATATTGAACATATTAATTATAAGTACACAAGCCGCCGAAAGTGATAGGTTAACACATTACAATATTACATAATTTAAAACAACACACTGGACTTTTTGGTATATTTACATTAATAAAACTGTGCTATGTCAGTAATGTTTCATGAAACGCAACTCTAAAACTATTTTTTTTACATCTGTCTCTATTGTTTCTCATAAAAATTAGTCAATCTGTACTGCATTTGAAAGTTTTTCTTATAAACTAGTTTTTTTAATTCTACACAGACGTCAAGTATCTTACAACCCTGATACAGGAGTGTGTTTCCTTCACATTTCCAAGATTACAGCCGAGGATGACGGAGATTACACGTGCACAGCTGTCAACTGTGCAGGAGAGTCTAGTCTAACCGTCAAAATCCAGAGAGGCATGGGAGGTCAGTATCCAGTGTCAATTCCTAAAAAACAAAACAAAAGTACACTCAAACAATAAAGTAGTAGTTTCAGAGATCACTGATTTGTCATAGTAGTTTCAGATTAAGATGAATGGTTTGTCATAGTAGTTTCAGATTAAGATGAATGGTTTGTCATAGTAGTTTCAGATTAAGATGAAGGGTTTGTCATAGTAGTTTCAGATTAAGATGAATGGTTTGCCATAGTAGTTTCAGATTAAGATGAATGGTTTGTCATAGTAGTTTCAGATTATGATTATTGGGGTGTCATCACTATTATCCAAGAAAATATTTATAGAGATTTCATAACAAATGTTCTTCAAATACTTATCATTATAACTTACTCTTAAAATTATTGTTCGTGCCCTTTTCTATACGTTTCAAAATCTTAAAATGTTTTGTCTCATAATAAATAAACAATTTCAGCTCTAAACATCTTCTAGAAGCCAAGATAACTTTCAGTAAACAAACTTCTCATTATATACAACGTATAGTATTTTACAAATCCAAATACAGTATCAGTAGTCTAGTAAGTATCATGCAGGACTGTAAATCCAAGGATCTATGGTTCGCGTCCCATTGTCGCAAAATCCTACCTCGTTTGTGCCCGTGGGTGCGTTATAAGAGTGATGGTGAAATCCCATTAATTGGTTAGAGTAACCCAACAGTTTGAGGTTGATTGCTGCTCAATAATACATCTCCTAGAAGTCTACGACTTCAAAAGTATGGGCGGATATCGCAGATAGCCCCTATATAGCTTTGCACAGATATCCGTAACAAACAAGTAGTTATTAATACGCTGACGCCGATTGCGGTATACGCATCAGCTGTTGTTTAGGGACTGCTGAAATAATACTCTACGATAACATTTATTAACAGTGAAATAATAATTTCGAATCCATCAACATAACCGAACTGATACTTACTACACCTTTTTAGCGGCTCATAGAATGGCTCTGAGTTTGTTTGTTTTTTCAAGTGCAAACTTTTAGCTCAAAGCCCCATCTCTTGACCGTGTTGAAATATAATTACAGCCGCGGCTATTGAGGATTCCCTATTGTTGTTCATTTATCCGCTATTTATTTTGACAGAGGTCGATTAACTACCGGAAGCATGATGTTTCCTACAACACTTAGTTAAAGTACTATGTATTGTTCTTACAGGTCCACAATACCAACAACAATTACACCAGCAAGGAGCTTTCCATAAACGTACTTATCAAACACGTACAGAACAAAGGCTTCAGACATCATTTGATCGTACGATGTCTTCTTCAGATACGGAGGGTGAACCAGGAAGTCCACTGTACTATGGAGTGCCAGTGGTCAGTATTTATTAATGAGGATAAATAATTTATTTGGTTTATTTTCACACTACAACTGAACCAGGAGAAGATCAAACTGATAATGTGTTTAACTTATTCCTAAAACGTGCTTCAGAAGTGATGAGTTGAGGTAACAAAAGTACATAAATAGTTTTTTTTAAAGGTTTCAGGGAGTTTTTAAAAAGAATATTTCATCTAATCTCATTGGTTTGTTTCTTTGTTTTTTTATGAAAATTGTCGACGGAGTCTGATTTGAAAGTATTTACTTCCTGATTTCAATGTTGCTGATTGAATAAAAAAAACCTTCAAATGGTGTCCTGTTTCTGAGCAATTTAGGAAACTTAAACTAATGTTAAAGTCTGATGTGACGTGGCTATCTGCGTATTCTAGCGTGGCCTGAAAGCTTCACGTCAAATGAATAACAAAAGTTTATTCTGCTATATCTTCTCCGTAACATAGATAAATCATTAATAAATGTTTCGTATTCGAATATGGAATTTTGTGAGTTTAAATTAGTTTACTTTTCTTTCACTAAAAAGTACAGAAAGTCCACGATGAAAATGTCTAATTTCAAAAATGCAAGATAAGACTATTAATTATTATAAGTCAGTAATAAATGGGTTTTACCCCCCCAGTGGCACAGAGGTATGTCTGCGGAGTTACAACGGGTTTCGATACCCGTGGTGGGCAGAGCATAGATAGCCCATTGTGTAGCTTTGTGCTTAATTACAAACAAACAAACAATAAATGGGTTTTGTCACAACTTCAAATATGTAGATATTGTTTGAAAACAATACTTTCCTTAAGTGATGTTTTAAAATAGATTATTGAACAAATATGTAGATATTGTTTGTAAACAATACTTTCCTTAAGTGATGTTTTAAAATAGATTATTGAACAAATATGTAGATATTGTTTGCAAACGATACTTTCCTTAAGTGATGTTTTAAACACATTATTGAACAAATATGTAGATATTGTTTGAAAACAATACTTTCCTTAAGTGATGTTTTAAAATAGATTATTGAACAAATATGTAGATATTGTTTGAAAACAATACTTTCCTTAAGTGATGTTTTAAAATAGATTATTGAACTGCTTACGCATATGAACAAGAATTATCTAAACCATAAAAACTATATTTATTTTAGGCTTTTTTTTCTCAGTATTTTGATCCTTGAACTAAATTTTGTATTTTACGTATTAATTCTAAAAAAACTTGGAACAGAAAAAAATATGTACATGTGTCGCAAAAGAAATACACGATTAAAATACAGAAGATATTTCCATATCTACTTTCTCTTAAAACGAAATAAATGAGCTGAAATGTTTCACACGCGTATTTCTCCACTTAGGGTTTTCGTGTGGACACTTTCGAGTACCGTTTGCTAAGAGAGGAAGAATTTCGAAAGTCTCTGATAGTGAGACGTCACGGTGAACCAATACCTGCGCTGGATAGGTCAAGACCTCCAAGTGCACCCCAACTTTTACAAAGACCTCGGAACAGTAAGCTGGTCGAAGGAGCTGATGCTACATTTCAAGTTCAAATCGGTGGAAATCCACAGCCTCAGGTATTGGACGAAATGTGCTGATTGATAGCTCCTAGTTGTTATACAAGGAGACTACCGTTCATAAGTAGCTAAACCTAGGTTTGGATCAGCTGAAGCTGTCGTTCTGATACACAAAAAAGTCAGCTTGATCAGTATTAACTAATATTACTAAATGCAGCTGCATAAAACAAAAATCGCCTTATGGTTCATGTTTATTGTTCTTAAATTAAATACTCACTCTTACACTAAGTACTGCTCAATAAAAGGATAGCTAAAAGTATTCTAAGTTAACACTTTCAGTGTTCAAATGTACAATAGAGCTCAAAGAATAAATCAAAATATTATTCTGAATTTCTGCTTCATTAGTTTTGTAACCACTGTACGTTGTTAAAATGTAGTGTTAAGGTAGCAGTTAATTACTTCAACAATAGGCTAAATGTAGTGTTAAGGTAGCAGTTAATTACTTCAACAATAAGCTTTACTGCTTAATATGTCAAAAGCACTCTGTACAAATGTAGTGTTAAGGTAGCAGTTAATTACTTCAACAATAGGCTTTACTGCTTAATATGTCAAAAGCACTCTGTACAAATGTAGTGTTAAGGTAGCAGTTAATTACTTCAACAATAGGCTTTACTGCTTAATATGTCAAAAGCACTCTGTACAAATGTAGTGTTAAGGTAGCAGTTAATTACTTCAACAGTAGGCTTTACTACTTAATATGTCAAAAGCACTCTGTACAAATGCAAGTTATAGATTCGAATAGAATTTATTATTTAAACCATTTGAAGCATTGTACTGTTAGTTTGGGTTTTAGTTAACACTCCTGAAGAAACTGTAAAGCGAAACGTTGAGTGTCTAATTAAATAATAACATTCTGGTGTTATAAGGTCATTTATTTCTAGTGTTAATGTCTTCTATACACCAATATGCACTACAGAAATTAAATAATGGATATCAAGATTGTCAGTTTGGGGTCACCTTTGACGATAATAAGTATTCATCATTTGGCAAGAAGTGTATTAGAAATATCTGTCAGTTGGCAACAGGTTAACAGTTGAATTATTCACTCTCCACTGACTTGTTGAGTGTTATTCACGTTTTGCTTTATGTGAAGTTTTTCCCTGAACTGATTCGTGAGTTATTGTTGTTTTTTAAAGTCTTAGTTAGCCGGTTCTGATTGAACGAGTTCGAATTTTTTTATAGATAACTTGGTTCAAGAATGGTCAAGTGCTGGTTCAGACTCAGCGATGCACCACGTTTGTAAAGGAGACTGTCGCGACCCTCCAGATCCGCTATATCTGTGCAGAAGATGCTGGATATTACACGATGCTAGCCGAAAACACCTCGGGCAGAGTTGCATGTTCAGCCCACCTGGTTATTGAAGCTAAACCCACAGGTGTCCAACGACTTGAAAGTTTGGAAACGCAACCAAAAATGTGTGTATCTATTTCATAAAATTATATTAAATTGTTAAAATATTAAATGTTCAAATATGTTTTTGGAAGATTTGTTCTAATTACTCCTCATGATATACTCTATTATAATTATGCATTTAAAAACATCACGAAATTCAGCAACATTTTTGCTAGAGATTTTATTGGCTTAGAAGTTTTACGGAGCATCGTGACCTTTTATAAACTTTAATTCCTTGGGATATTGTTTCGAGCAGTGTTTCCCAAAGTTTTTCGCCGCAGCGCCCACTTCAGCAAACAATGTCATCATCAGGTACTTTGTCGAAACGTTGTACATTTGCTGTTATGTTAAACTTATATTAAAGTTTTCTTCATTACCCATTCAAGCCGTCTCCAAGGATTATTAGTCTTAAAGTGGGTTCCTCGTCATCGAATGAGCGCTCATGCTCCCTTTTAATAAATTTTTAGACCATTAAAATAATTTATTAAAATGAAAATTGTAAGGCAATAATAGTCCATTGGAAATTTTAAAATATTTTATTTCAGCAAAAATATACACCATTATTGCCCACATTCACAACTATTACTTTATTGCAAAAAGGAAGAAATGAAAATATATCGTGGTAACACACATGAATAATTAATTAATTTTTAATGGCTACCTTGAGCTTGATGCTCCTGTGCTTGCCACAAAGACACCCACACAATGATTTTTGCTCAAACGTGTTGAAAGAGCCCTCCACTGGCACAGCGGTATGTCTTCGGATTTGTAACGCTATAAACCGGGGTTTCGATACCAGTGATGTGCAGAGAACACATACCTCATTGTGTAGCTTTGTGCTTAACTACAAACAAACAAACTTGTTGAAAGACAAATCCTTATTTCCTATGATTGAATTTTAACAAATTTAACTTTGAAACCCTCAAAACTTTTCTGTTCACCCCTCAAAGTTTACTGCCCCCCTGAAGTTTATAAACACCCACTAGGGGCGGTACCGCGCAGGTTGGGAAACATTGGTTTAGAGTAACGGTGAACAGCTTTAGTGTATTGACCTGGTTTTACCTCCCGCTAGTTTAAGTTATTATCATGTATTGCTATTATTAGCTATATATCGTCATTAATTTAGTTACCTTAGTTTTTGAGATGACTTTATTTACCATATTAACGACTGTTGAAGATGTCCTTTCTAAGTATTATTATTTTTTATTAAACTTTCTACTTTTTAGAGGCTTATTGTGTTGGTTTTTTTCGACTTTTACAGAAGATGTAACGTTATTTATTACTTTCTGTGTGTTTGTTAGAGGGAATAATTAAAGTAAGATTGCCTAAAGTTTTTAGATATGTTTAGTGTGTTGTTTTCTTTATATTGTAATTAACATCGTTCAAATTTTGTGGATAGTTCAGGTATTATTTAAAAATTTTCATTTATTATCTTGTATTCTTATAAGTATTAGTTTTTAGTTATACTATGTGAAAATCACTGCTATAAATTAGGCACAGTTTAAAAAAGTAATACGTGTGGAATAGATTTGTCACTCTCCTGTGACACTAGACAGAATAGGTAGCCTAAAGTTTGTTTGTTTATAATTATGCACAAAGCTACACAATAGGCTATCTGTGCTTTGCCCACCACGGGTATCGAAACCCGGATTCTAGCGTTGTAAGTGCGCATACATACCGCTGTTGTTTTTTTCTAATCAAAAGAATGACTAGGAAGAATTGTAGAAAAAAAATCAGGCAAGTTATATTGTCACTTTCATCAGCAGTATTGATTATATTATTTCATATAACAAATGTCATTACTTTTTATTTTGGTTTATTATTACGATTCTTTTATTACAAATATTGTTTTGTATTGTTATCTTAATATATGTATTCAGCAGCAGCCTAAATCTCCTAAGTTTGGCCAAACCTCGGTAGGTGTTATTAGGATTATGGCCGAAAATATCGTTAACAGCGAGGGTACCTAATTGATGAAACAATATGCTCTAATCTTCATAAGTAGAAACGGAAGAAAAGTAGCTCGAAATGGCCAGGTGGTTAGGGCGCTCGACTCGCAATCTGAGAGTTGTGGGTTCGAATCCCCGTCACACTAAAACATACTCACCCAATGTCCGAACTAGGACGTTAGTCCTACTCCCGGATACTCACCTTCAAAATAATTTGGAGGTGTGAGAAATACTATACGAAAAATATATTTAATCAACTATAATGATTACCAGGTTGATTTTTAGTTTCTCATAGCTTGCTCTGACCGAAAGTTAATATTAATCTAGGTAAGATAACGTGCAAGTAATAAATTATTTATTGAGTAATAAGAACAGAAGGGTGTATTTCTATTTGAAGGTATTATTTACTAAAATATGAAATACAAGAACAAATCTTAAATTTACAGATATCAGTCTGGAATTTATCCCGGAAGAGAAAACAAATAATGATTGGGTGTATTAATATTAGCTTGAGTGTACCCGTTAAGAAAGCAAAAAGTGCATAACGGACAATGTTAAATAATGTTGAATAATTTACTTAATTAGATGATTAACTATTTCTGTCTCCAAATACAAACCCAAAAGCCTTTACAAATAGTGGAAATGTGCCCCTTTTCAGGATGTTTTCACCCCCCTCTTCGGGCAAAAATCCTAAAACAAAATAGCCCTTGTACATCGTCAGACAATTTCAAGTTACCATACAAAAAATTACAGTAATCGATCCAATTAACTTTAGGTGATGGAAGCCAAAAGTCTGTAAAAAAAGTGGAAATATGTCCTATTTTCGGGGCTCTTTTATATCTCCTTCTCTGGCGTAAATCCTAAAATATGATAGCCCTTGTACATCGTTGGTCAATTTCCAGTTACCATACCAAAAGTTACAGTAATCGAGCCAGCCAACTCTGGGCGAGGGATTCTAACACACACACACACACACACACACACACACACACACACACACATGGACATAAGGGGTCATCTTCACAGTAAGATTTACTCTATTTGTTTCGACTTTTTTCAAAAGGGTCACTTCACCACCTGCAACTGTTACAACTGACTATGAAGTGGATTCCGCCACTACTCGCACTTTGAAGCCAAGCTTTGTCAAATGTCCATCAGACAAGGAAGTGACGGAGGGGAAGATGATCCGGTTCGACTGCCGGGTGTCTGGCCGTCCTTGTCCCGATGTTCTCTGGTTCCACAACGAGAAGCAGATAGTGAATGACAACACCCACAAGCTTCTAGTGAATGAAGGAGGGGTACACTCCTTGATGATCACTGCTGCAAGCAAAGAAGATGCTGGAACATACATATGTATTGCCAAGAACAAGAGTGGAGAAATGCGCTCCGATTTTAATTTGACTGTAATAGGTCAGTTCTATTTATTTCAAATACTTACGTATTGTTACCCTTTTTTCACTAATATAATTACAAGCTTAATATACGTTTTTGAATGAAATAAAATGCTAATTGATTTTTAACAATAACGGATCAAAAATGCTTCTATTAATCATTCAATTTCGTTATACTTACAGTAACAAACTATCAAGCAGTTATCTTCTCTCATTGAATTATGGGTAATATTATGTGATGACGAACTAGCGATGTGAAAGTAAATTAATGTCACGTTTTTTGTGAATTAGCTTTCAGTATCGTTACTCACGACTAGGTTTTAAATAATTATTAAAGCTAATTCTACCCTTTAGTTCATCTCACGATATTTCGGTCCGCACTGTGTTTTGGCCTTCTTCGCCATCTGTTTCGAATGAGAAGAAAAGCTTTTGTAATCACAGAATACATTCGTTGATCATTTCAAAAAGAATAATGGATTAGCTTTTGAATTATAAAAAATCGAATAATTACTCTCCATGTGATTTGCGTTGGTAATTTTCTTTTTACTGACAGCTTAAAGTAAGTTTTGTTTTTGATTTGTGTTTACTCAGAAAAAGAACAAGTTGTGCCACCGAAATTTGTGGAGAGATTTCAGAGCATCCACGTGAAGGAAGGAGAATCAGTAACCTTACACTGTAGAGCCGTGGGCACACCTGTCCCTCGCATTACTTGGCAGAAAGATGGGGTACAAATCCATTCACAGCCGCCAAATATCATCATTGGTAATATTCTACCCCACTTGTCTTTACTAGCTGATTTCTTAATAATTTTATTATTGAAGGTAAATAAGGTATATATATATATGAAACTAAATTTTAAACCGAGTGTATATATTTGCTTGCAACTCGAACACGGAAGGCTTATAATTTGTGATACATTGTTTTCACATATTTTTCACCTAAATCGTTATATACGTGTTTAGGGAGTGAATCTGAATTTCACTATTTCAACGAATTTTCCTCTAAGTAAGTAAGTGACTTTTCTAAACAAGAGTGCAGAAAAAATGACGAACCTTTTCGCTCTAATTATTTCACAGAACGTCTGGGGTCCCTATGATTCCCTTCTTGTACCGTTTGTTTGTTTCTGAATTTCGCGCAAAGCTACACGAGGGCTATCTGCGCTAGCGGTCCTTAATTTAGCTGTGTAAGACTAGAGGGAAGGCAGCTAGTCATTACCACCCACCGCCAACTCTTGGACTAGTCTTTTACCGTGCCGTTAAATACATTATCAGTTATAAACTGTATACTTTAATTTTAATTTAATTACCTTAAATACTTTCGGGCCACCCTGTATATAGGTTCCTGTTGGCTTTG